AGTCTGGGGGTGGTATGCTGAAGACATTGCAAGCTTAGTCCCCAACAGTCCCATGAGCTCCTTCCAGAACTTACTCGTGAATTTGGGGTCTCTGTCCGAGATGAGTGTAGCGGGGATGCCGTGGATGGTGATGATGCAGTCGAAGAAGAGGCGAGCAGTTGTTTCAGCTGTAGCCGTGGCGTTCGTCGGAATGAAGTGACCCATTTTAGAGAACTTGTCGATTACCACGAGTATAGCGTCATGCCCTCGTGAGGTCGAAGGAAGTTCTGTGATGAAGTCGAGGCTAACGACTTGCCATGATTGCTCCGGTACGGGTAGAGGCTGAAGTAACCTTGCTTTTTTCTGCTTGCTGCTCTTCATCCGCTGGCACGTGTCTCAAGAGGTGATGAACTACGGCACGTCTGCTGCCATCCCGGGCCAGTAATAATACTTTTCTATTCCCGCTAACGTCTTGTTGCTCCCGAAATGTCCCGCGTATGGTACGTCGTGAAACTCCTCCAATAGGCTCTGCCGTAGCGGGGCGTAATTCGGTACCCAAATCTTTCCTGAACCCTTCCTTTCTTCTAAGTTTTTCTCCCACTGTAATAGCTTCTTAGTCTATGCTGCAGCGATCTCTGCGTCCACGGAGTACCCATGTTGGAATAGACCCTTGAGCAGAGGGTTCATCCTGTCGAGCTGGATGGCTGCTACATGTCCGGGGCGGCTCAACGTGTCTGCTTTGTTGTGTAGCCCGGGATTGTAGACGATGTCGTAGTGGAAGTGAGTTTCCAGGAAGTCCACCTACCGCACCTGTCGTCGTGAGAGCGTCGGCTGCGACTTCAAGTATTTGAGACTGCAGTGGTCACTATAGACTCTAGTCTTGGCTCCCTCTAGGTAACACCTCCACGCCTTGAAGGCTATGACTATCGCTAAGGCTTCCTTGTCATGGATAGGGTAGTTCAGTTCTGCTCGGTGTAGCTTCTTACTGAGGTAGGCGATGGGCTGCAAACTGCGTCCGCGATCCTGCATCAGTACTGCTCCGACTGCTTGGTCACTAGCGCCTGCTGTGAAGAAATGAGGAAATGAATGAACTAGGAAAGAGGTGGGTACAAGTAGGAAAACCTAGAAATGTTGTACCCCGTATTGTCTACCCCACTACAGCCTACACAGACTATAGCATATAAGTTTGACACACCCCCATAGGCAAAGTGGGGGAGAACAAGAGGTTACAAGACCAGTCAAGCAAAGCAAAACAAGCTCAGGGTGGATCACAACGTCACCACACAGTCCGAGCACAAGTTCAAGGCCACAAGGCCAGTTCACATGCAAGATCATATATAAAGGAAAACAAGCAAGTGCAGGAATAGAAAGATCACAGTACAAGCAAGGTCAAGAAGTGAGCAAGTGAGGCCAAGTAGGCACAAGACCTAGCATCGTACAGAAGCGCTGATGATCACAAGGCGGAAGTGCCTTGGTGAAGATATCAGCAGTGTTGGCCTCAGAGGCCATGTAAGCAAGGTGGAGCTGACCACGCTGCTGCAGCTCACGAGCAAGGAAGTAGCGAAGAGCAATGTGCTTCGTTCTGTGCTCCAGTCTGTGCTCCCGACACAAGGCCAGCATGGCCTTGTTGTCTACATACACAACTGGAGGAGAACGAGGCGGCTCTCCTAGGTCAGTGAGCAGGTAGGTGAGCCAGCGTAGCTCCTGTGCAGCCATGGCCCCCGCGTAGATCTCAGCCTCACAGCTGGAGCCGAGAACAGAAGACGAGCGGGTAGACCGCCACGAAACAGAGCCGGAACCAAGGCTGAAGGTGTAACCCTGTGACGACCGCTGCGTAGCCTGATCGTCAGCCCAAGAAGCGTCTGCGTGACCTGTGAGGACCATTGGAAGTCGCCCTCCAAGCACTAGCCCCATGCCCGACGTACTGCACAAGTAGCGCAACACCCTCTTTGCTGCAGCCATATGCTTTGGTCGGTGTCTCCCAGGAGCAACATAGCGTGCCAAGATGCTAAGAGGGTATGCGAGGTCAGGTCGTGTGCAGGTCATCAGGTACATTAGGCAGCCAACAAGCTCTGGGTACGGGCCACTCGGCTCTACGGACTCATCCGAAGGCAGAGTTGAGAGCGAGTGGCGAGTAGACAGAGGAGTGGCCTGAGGCGAGGAGTACGTGAAGTCGAAGCGCTGAAGGACCTGCTGCACCATGTGTTACTGAGTCAGTGTGATGGTGCGGCGTGCTCTGTCACGGGTGATCTGCAAGCCAAGGTAGCTGCGCAGTTCACCCAGGTCTGTGCACGTGTGTCTCTTCTGCAGCTCGAACTTCACGTGGGCTAGTCCAGCAGTGTCAGCAGTGGCAAAGACCAAGTCGTCGACGTACACGAGGATGTAGAACGGCGGCAAAGAGGTGTCAGTGCGCAGAAACAGCGACGGCTCAACTATACAAGGAGCAAACCCAAGAGTCGCAAGTGTAGTCCTCAGTGTGTCGTGCCACTCACGGGGCGCCTGGCGAAGACCGTAGACTGGCCGCCGGAGGCTCCACTGGGTACCACGAGGAAACGACCCAGTGAAGCCAGGTGGGCGGCGCAGCTAGATCTCCTCGTGCAGGCTGCCCTGTAGGAAAGCTGTGCTGAAGTCAAGAGAGTGAAGCTCGTAGTCGCGCTGAGCGGCTATGTGCAGCAGCACCCGAAGAGTGGTCATCTTCGGGGTGGGAGAGAAGGTCTGAAAGTAGTTAGCTCCCTGCCGCTGACTGAAGCCTCGAGCCACGTAATGCGCCTTGAAGACAGGCGGAGAACCGGGCGGCCGCTTCACCCTGCAAATCCACATGCCACTGACGATGTTCGCCCCAGGTGGGGGAACCTCGTCGACGTAGGTGCCTGTGGACTTTTAGGAAGCCATCTCTGCGTCCATGGCTGACTGCCGCTGTGAGGAGTTGGGACCCTCGATCGCCTCAGCGTACGATCGAGGAGTCGGGATGTCCGGTGCATCCGGGTCTCCCTCAGGGGCAATCAGCGTGGACACGAGATGAGGCAAAGCAGCAGCAAAACACTGGAACTCCTCCTGCCTGTCCTCAAGGACGTCCGTGCTAAGAGCACACTCATCCTCGACGGACGGAGGACAGTCAGACTCAGACTCAGCAACAAGACAAGCAGCGTAGTCTAGACGACAGCGAGCAGCGAAGTCGACAAGTTCAGCAACTAAGGCAGACGCAACAGTGGACTCAAAGGAAGGGTCCGTGACAACAGTAGCCAGGAGACGCGTGAAAGTAGGACTGGCAGCACGACGAGAGTCAGACTCCGGGTCAGCAAGGACAGGAAGAGAGGACTTTGGAGGAGACGGCAACGGGACACGCGGAGGAGCAGTGGAAGGACGCAGTGCCATCCGGTGTGTGCCTGGGACCGCAGGAGGACGCGGACGCGGAGCACGACTACTAGTGCGAGCAGCACGAACAGGCAACGCAGGACGAGACGCAGGCTCACGACGCTCAGCAAGACCTCCATTAGGACCAGTGTAGGGAGAAGGAGCAGGTAGAGGGGAGGCGGGCTGTAACTGTGACCGCGACTGGACGCGCTGTGGACACTCTAAGGGAGGAGCAGGACAAGTAGAGGGCGGTAGACCAAGAACCTGCTCAAGGAGCGGAACAAAGTACGGCCGCGGCCGCGCATCGCCCCCAGAACCAGTAGGGACAGCATTAGTACCCCCAGCGGCAGCACCAGCGCCAGCAGCACCTCCAGCTCCAACAGCGCCAACTCCAGCACCCTCAGAAGCACCAGCGCCAGCAGCACCTCTAGCGCCAACACCTCCAGCAGCTCCAGCTCCAGCAGGACCAACTCCAGCAGGACCTCCAGCAGGACCAACTCCAGCAGGACCAACTCCAGTAGCCTCAGCAGCACCCCCAGTCCCAGCAACTCCAGTACCGCCAGTACGAGCACCTCCAGGACCAGTGGCTCCAGTAACTCCTGTGCCGACCCCAGGGTCAGCAGCAACCGTAGCACCTACAGCTCTAGCAGCACGGCTCCAGCGCCAGGCAAACCACTCGCGCAGCTCCTGCGGAGAGGGTAGCTCCCACCTCGACGAAGCACCGCCAGAGGCCACACGAGTAGACCCAGCACCCCAAGGCTCCGCACCCCCAGGCTCTGTACCCCCAGGCTCCGCACCCCCAGGCTTAGCACCTCGAGGCCCCGCTCCCCCAGGCTCTACACCCCTAGGCTCAGCACCCCCAGACCCAGCACCCTCAGGCTCGGTACCACTAGACTCAGCACCCGCAGGCTCAGCACCCCTAGACTCAGCACCCGCAGGCTCAGCACCCCTAGCAGCACTAGAGTCAACAGCGACCTCGACAGGCTCGACTGCGTCTACGTGGGACACACCTGACGGGGCAGGACCCTGAGGGGGGAGAGGGTCTACCGGGGGAGGACCTGGCGCAAGGAAGAGCGGCGGCGGGGGGAGGGGCGCAATGCGATAGGGGAAGAGACGGTAGTAAGGCACCGACTCGTCAAACGTAACGTCCTGAGAGGACAGAACACGGCGCGAGGTGGGGTGGTAAAACTGCCAACCAGGCGCGTCAGGGGGGAAGCCAAGGAAGACGCAGGGATCCGCACGGGGGGACAGCTTGTCCGCAGACAAGTTGCGGACAAACGCCCGAGATCCCCAGACACGGAACGCAGACGCATCGCCAGCCTTCCCCATCCACCTCAGGGTGGGGGAGGTCTCCGGCAAGGAGACACGAGGCTGAAGGTTGATCTGATGCGTTGCGTACCGAACCGCAAACGGCCACAGAAAATGGGGAGTAGCCGCATGGATCATGGACGTACGAACGACGTCCATGACCATGCCAATGCGGCGCTCAGCAATTCCATTTTGTTGTGGAGAGGCCGGAAGCGTGAAGGTCTGGCGGATGCCCTGTGCACGACAGAAGGCTCCCAGACGGGCAGAGGAAAGCTCCCCGCCTCTGTCAGAGTGCAGACGCAAGCAAACGCAGGACCAGACCAGGACGCTGCAGCAAACACCTGACTCAACGCAGCTACCTAACCAGACTCAGCAACCGGAGGGGACTCAGTAGTCAGTGTGCACCGGCTCGACCCCGACCGACGGGTAAACGTGGCCAAGTGTCGGCCCGTCCGAGCACACGTACAGTGGGTCACCCGTTGACCCGCAGGAGTGAACTGGTCAACCCCCCCATCCTGTAGGTCAGCACCACTCACCAAGTTCGTAGAGAACGAGGGAAGGTAGAGACCTGACAGGGTGCCAGAGGGGGCTGCCTGACACGGTAAGACAGTGGAGAAGCTAGCAAGGACAGGACCCCCAGAGGGGTCCGCCAGGGAGACCGCAACCGGCCGACTAAGTGGCGTAAGCGTGGTGCTGTCGCGAAAGAAGGAGCGGGAAGCACCCGAGTCAAGGGTGAAGGTGTGCAAGGCCTGAGCCGACATGGTACCTGAGAGAGCAGACTCACCAGCACATGGGGCAGCAGACGGGCTAGCACCTAGAGCAGCAGCCTCACCAGCACCTAGAGCAGCAGCCTCAATGCCCGGGTTAGGCAGTACAGACAGGTAACAGTCACCCTCATCACTAGTAGACACAGCATACATGGCAGCAAGAATAGCATCATAGTCAAGATCAAAGATAGCAACCCACGCCCTAGACAGCTCTCCCCAGCGAGGGATCTCAGTGGCGTCAGGGAACTGGTGACGCCAAGCGTCTGTCAGGCGGCCGAAGCAGCGCTGGGTGAGCCCTCGCACTGCTCACCAGCGCGGTCGCCGGTACGGAGGACGTAGGTACAGGGACCAGTACCCCCACCTCGCTGACGCCCAGCGTACCACTCACGAAGCTGCTGAGGGGACGGGGTCTCACGAGTGCGCTGCTGCTGCTGGCGCTGACCACCACCTAAGCCGCCCCGCTGCGCAGAGCCACCCCGACTAGCTCCACCTCCTCCGCCGCCACCTCGGCCACCGCCGCCACCGCCTCCTCCTCCGCTCCCATCGCCACCGCCGCCGCCGCCTCCGCCGCCACCGAAGCCCCCACCCCCGCCACCACTCCCACCACCACCCCCACTCCCTCCGCCTCCTCCACCTCCACCTCCACCGCCCCCGCCAGCCCCTCCAACGCCCTTGCCCCCCTTGCCCTTGCTGGTGCGGCGTCGCCCGCTAGGGGCAGACGCCGCTCTGACCGACTCCAAGCCAACGAGGTCAAGGGCAGCAGCAGAGGCAATAGAGGGCAACAGGGGGAAGGGGGAGCACCCCTCAAAGAAGGGGGCACGAGGGTCACCACGAGAGGCTCCTACAGCGACTATACTCTTCTCAGCTGCCAGGAGGCGCTCCTCGAGGAGGTCAACGGTGAGTGTGGTGGGGCAAACAGAGAGGAAGTGGTCCCTGACCGAGCGAAGGGAGTCAGGGAGACGGGTGACTATGTAGTAGAGGGTGATGTACATGGGGGGGGGGGGGGGGTTCTTGGCGCAGAACTCAGCAGGAAGCGCAGCGTGGTAGTGGGTGTCCCTAGTGCGAAGGTACGTAATGAGGTCAGCAACAGTGGGAAAGGCGGCGAGGTCAGGGAACAGGTACGACACCATGAGGCGGCTAAGGGCAGCAGTGGCAGGGGAAGAGTAGCGTGCAACTACAGCGTCGTACAAGGTCTTAGCACTCTTGTACTGACTAAAGTGCGCACGCTCAGCGGTCGGTAAGTGGCGACGCACAGCAAGACGGGCAGCAGCATCGCGGGTGGCCCACTGTGAGCGAACAGTGCTGTTAGCATCAGCAGGCGGGGCAGGAGAGGCACCAGAGGTGAGATCGAACAGGGAGAGTCCGTGTGCCCTTTCGCACTGTAGGAAGAGCTGGAGGTCATCGACCTAGACCTTGAAGTCAACAGCACGACCCTCAGCATCAAAGGTAAGGACACTGGGGGTAGCCATGACAGCAGTGGTCTAGCAGGGAGTGCTCTAACCAGTCCAGGTGGGTAGGGCCGGGGCGCGCCGGAAGGAACAGGGCGGCAACCGCGGTGGCAGCGGCTCGGCAGTGGTGGCTCGACGGCGGCCTCGGCGGCTCGGCGGCTCGGCGGCTCGGCTGCTCGGCGGTTCGGCTGCTCGGCTGCTCGGCGGTGAAGGGGCCGGGGAGGGGCTGAAAGGGGCGGCGACGGGGCCGCAAGGGGCGACGACGGGGCCGCTAAGGGCGGCGACGAAGCCGCGAGAGGGTGGCGACGGGGCCGGGAAGGGTGGCGACGGGGCCGCTAGGGGCGGCGACGGGGCCGCGAAGGGCGGTCTGGTCTCTGTTTGTGCTAAAAACTGAACCCTGAACACTATAGTTTTTGCCCTGACAGGTCAGGATTAGTTTCTGCACAAGCCCTGAACATAAAGGAAGGCTTGGAAAATTTGCCCTAAAAAATCAGGGCATTTTTTAAGATTCCAGAAAAGTGCCCTGAGGGCTCAGGATGCCCCAAATCCTAGCACGCGCCCTGCCAGTTGCAGAGGCAAATTTGGTAGTACGTGAGTCAGCACGTGGCAGAATTCGCGTGTCGCAAGGTTAAAAATGTACGCGGTATTTCAATTTTCACTATAATATATTGGAGTTTCGATTATAAGACATATATGTCTTATCTCGTACACACAAATAGGTGTCGTATAAAAAGGCTAGCCTGTTTATAAGAGACACCCGTATAATAGACAACCCTTGTCTACTATTCAACACTGTCTTATATCCGGGCGATGACGGTATTACGCATTTGCAACTCGTTGACAAGTTACCCAACAGTGCCCCAAAACCATGAGCCTCACCAGGATCAGCATTTCACCGGCTTCGCCACTGTTCCAAATCTCTGAGTTCGAAACAACGGAATGGTTGAAATTACAAGGGTGAGAGTACAAATACAAACCCTAGAATGCTATCCTCTCTACAATGTGCCCTCACCACTGTCAAACAATATATTTGTCAGGTACTCTCTAGAGGGTACAACCCAATTAGGGTTTACTACTCGTATCTCATTCCTGTTAGTCATTCTCATTTCCGCTGTTCACGCTTCTTAAAATGGTATGAGACGCTAGGTTAGGTCCATGGCTACCGCTCGTTACCCGTGCCTGTCCGACACGCCGCTGCCCCTCGTGCACTCTGCCCGTACGTTGCCCCGCGTGCCACGCCTGCCCGCAAGCGCTACCTTGGCCCCGCGCGCAGCGCCTGCCCGTACGCTGCCCCGTGCGCTGCACCTGCTCGCGCGGTGCTGCCCTACCCGTGCGCTGCCCCGCACACCGCGCCTCTTGTACGCTGCCATGTGCGCCGCACCTGCCCGTGCTCTGCGCGTGCACTGCCTCTCGCGCTGCGTCTGCCCGCACGCTATCCTGCGCGTCCGCGCTGCCCTGCCCGGCGCGTCCACGCTGCCCTGCCCCGCGCCGTCGCGCTGCCCTGCCCTGCATGTCCGCACTGCCTTGCTTGGCGCCATCGCGCTGCTCTGCCCTGAGCGTCCGCGCTGCCCTGCCCAGAGCGTCCGCACGCGGCCCCCTCAGGTCGCCTCGACAGGCGACGGGAAAAGAGGGGGGGGCGATGCACGTGCCCCCGGTGCGCCGCGACAGGCGACGGAGCATGGCCGGGGCGGGGCCGGGGCAGGGTCGGGGCAGGGCCGGGGCAGGGCCTCGATAGGGGCGGCGACGGGGCCGCAAAGGGCGGCGACAGGGCCGGTAGAGGCGGCGACGGGGCCGCGAAGGGCGACGGGGCCGCTAGAGGCGGCGACGGGGCCGCGAAGAGCGGCAACGGGGCCGCTAGGGGCGGCGACAGGGCCGCGAAGGGCGGCGACGTGGCCGCGAAGGGCGGCGACGGGGCCGTTAGGGGCGGCGACGGGACCGCTAGGGGCGGCGACGGGACCGCTAGGGGCGGCGACGGGGCCACGAAGGGGCCGCGAGGGGCCTAGAAGGGCGGCGACGGGGCCGGTAGAGGTGGCGACGGGGCCGGTAGAGGTGGCGACGGGGTCGCGAAGAGCGGCGACGGGGCCGCTAGGGGCGGCGACGGGGCCGCGAAGGGCGGCGACAGGGGCCGCTAGGGGCGGCGACGGGACCGCTAGGGGCGGCGACGGGGCCTCGAAGGGGCCGCGAGGGGCCTGGAAGGGCGGCGACGCGCCGCGAAGGGGCTGCGAGGGCCGAGAAGGGCGGCGACGGGGCCGCGAAGGGGCCGCGAGGGGCCTGGAAGGGCGGCAACGAGGCCGCGAAGGGGCCGCGAGGGGCCTAGAAGGGCGGCGACGGGGCCGCGAAGAGTAGCGCGAGGGGCACGCCAAGGGGCGTGCAGAACACAGAGTAGCAGCGGAAGCAGTTAGGTGGGCCCATAGGCCAGGAGCGTAGATGCTCTGATACCATGTGAAAGAATGAGGAATGAAGAAGAGGGAGGGGTTTGCACTAGCAGCAGTTGGCATACATATAGGAAACTCTAATTGGGTTGTACTCGCTATAGAGTACCCCACTGCAGGCTAGACAATTATAGCATTCTGACATGCCTCAGTGTCAGCAGTGGCAAAAATCAAGTCGTCGACGTACACGAGGATGTAGAACAGCGGAAGCGAAGTGTCGGTGCGGAGAAACAACGACGGGTCAGCAGTCGAAGGAGTAAACCCAAGTGCCGCAAGTGTCGTCCTCAGTGTGTCGTGCCACTCATGAGGCGCCTGGCAAAGACCGTAGACTGGCCGTCGGAGGCTCCACTGGGTACCCTAAAAAAAGGACCCAGTGAAGCCAGGTAGACGGCGCAGCCAGATCTCCTCGTGCAGGCTGCCGTGTAGGAAAGTTGTGCTGAAGTCTAGAGAGTGAAGGTCGTAGTCACGCTGAGCGGCAAAGTGCAGTAGCATCCGAAGAGTGGTAATCTTTGGGGTAGAGGAGAAGGTCTCGAAGAAGTCATCTCCCTGTCGTTGACTGAAGCCTCGTGCAATGTAACGAGCCTTGAAGACATGCGGAGAACCCGGCAGCCACTTCACCCTAAAAATTCACATGCCATCGACTGCATCGACGTAAGTGCCTGTGGACTTCCAGGATGCCATCTCTGCGTCCATGGCTATCTGCCACTGAGAGGAGTACTCACCCGCGATCACCTCAGCGTAAGAGCGCAGAGTCGGGATGTCTGTGCATCCGGGTCTCCCTTAGGGGCAAGCAGCATGGCCACGAGATGAGGTGCAGCGGCTGCAAGACACTCAAAGTCCTCCTAACTGTCCTCAAGAACGTCTGTGCCTAGAGCACACTCACCCCCGACGGACGGAGGACAAACAAACTTAGACTTAGCAATTAGACTAGCAGCGTAGTCGAGACGACAAGCAGCAGCAAAGTCAACAAGCTCAGCGACTAAGGCAGACGCAGCAGCAGACTCAAACGAAGGGTCAGTGACAACAGTAGCCAGGAGACGCGTGACAGTAGGACTAGCAGCACGAAGAGAGTCTGACCCAGGGTCAGCAAGAGCAGGAAGAGAGGACGTAGGAGGAGACGGCAGAGGAACACGCTGTGGAACAGAGGGAGGATGAAGTGCCATAGTGTGCATCACGGGGACAGGAGGGCGCTCATGAGGAACACGGCGACCAGTGCGACCAGCGCGAACAGGCGAGGCAGGACGAGATGCACGCTTACGACGCTCAGTAAGACCTCCTGTCTGCTCAGTGTAAGGAGAGGGAGCAGGCAGTGGGGAGCCTAGCTGAAATGGGGGACCAGTAGAAGACGGGAGACTAAGACCTGGCGAAGCACCGAGCCGGCGGGGGCTGAGACGATGGTGACGGCGAAGCGAAGAATAGACGCGGCAGTGCAGCACCACCAGTACCAGCTCCTCCAGCACCAGCACCTCCCGTACTAGTACCAGCAGCTCCAGGGTCTCCAGCAGCTCCAGAAACTCCAGCTCCAGCACCTCCAGCTCCCGGGTCACCAGCTCCAGCGCCTACAACTCCAGGGCCTCCAGCTCCAGAGTCCGCAGCACCACCAACTCCGGCCGCTCGAGTACCTCCAGTACGAGCACCTCCGGGACCAGCAGCTCCAGCACCTCTTGTACCTCCAGTAGCAGTAGCACCACCAGCTCCGGCAGCTCGAGTGCCTCCAGGGCTAGCACCTCCGGACCTGTAGCAGCAACATCATCACCACCAGCTCCAGCAACTCCAGTACCTCCATTACGATCACCTCCGGGACTAGCAGCTCCAGCACCTCGAGCAGCAGCAGCACCACCAGCTCCAGCAGCTCCAGAAACTCCACTACCTCCAGCACCTCCACCACTAGCGGCACCACCAGCTCCGGCAGCTCCAGTGCCACCAGCACGAGCACCCCCGGGACCAGCAGTGCCAGCACCACCAGCAATAGCAGCTCCAGGGCCTCCAGCCCCAGCAGCGCCACTCTGAAGGCTACAGCGCCGAGCGTACTCGCGCAATTGCTGTGGTGAGAGAGGCTCCCGTCGGCTAGACTGCTCAGGCGAGGCACCACTGGGACCTCTAGGACTAGTAACTCCACCACCTCCAGTGATTCCAGTACCAGCAGTACCTCCAGCACCTCCAGGACTAGCAGCTCCTGGGCCTCCAGCTCGAGCTGCGCCAGTCCGAAGGCTACAGCACCGAGCGTACCACTCGCGCAACTGCTGTGGTGAGAGGGACTCCCGTAGTGTAGACACAGGACCCCTAGGCTCAGCACCCCCAGACTCAGCACCCCCAGGCTCCGCACGCTCAGGCTCAGCACCCCCAAGCTCTGCACGCTCAGACGCAGTACCCCCGGGCTCCGCACTCGCAGGCTCAGCACCTCCAGGCTCCTCACGCTCAGGCTCCGCAACAGCAGGCTCAGCACCCCCAGGCTCCTCGCGCATAGGCTCAGCACCCCAGGTTGCACATGCTCAGGCTCAGCACCCCCAGCAGCACCAGAGTCACCAGTGACCTCGACAGGCTCAACCAAGGGGAGAGGGTCCACCTGAGACACACCTGAAGGAGCAGGACCTTGAGGGGGGAGGGGGTCTACCGAAGGGGGACCTGGAGCAAAGAAGAGCAGCGGGGGAGGGGGAGGGGCAGTGCGGTAGGGGAAGAGACGGTAAAAGGAAACCGACTTCTCAAACGTGATGTTCTGAGCGGACAGAACACGGCGCGAGGTGGGGTGGTAAAACTGCCAGCCAGGCGCGTCAGGGGGAAAACCAAGGAAGACACAAGTACCGGCGCGGACGGAGAGCTTGTCCGCGGAGGTATCGCGGACAAAAGGACAAGATCCCTAGACCCGAAACACTGCTGCATCGCCAACCTCTCCCGTCCAACGCAGTGTCGGCAAGGTCTCCAGCAAGGAGACACAGGGCCAGAGGTTGAGCTGATGCGCAGCGTACCGGACCGCAAACAGAAACAGAAAATGGGGAGTAAACGCATGGATCATGGAGGTACGAGCGACCTCCATGACTAGGCCAATGCAGCGCACAACAACCCCATTCTACTGTGGAGAGGCCGGAAGCGTGAACGACTGGAGGATGCCCTCCCCACGACAAAAGTCCCTCAAGAGGTCGGAGGAAAACTGACCACCTCTGTCAGAGTGCAGACGCAGGACTGGAAGGTCCGTGTCGAACCACTCGCGGAGCTGGAGACGGACAGCGCGGATCCAAGGGATCAAGACATCAGAGACCTCACCCTTGCTGCGCAAGGGGAAGACCGTGGTGTAACGCGAGTAGTCGTCAACAACCAGCAGAAGGCATCGCTCGCGGCCCCGTCGCTGGACGCGGGTTGGGCCCCACTCGTCCAAGTGGAGAGTCTGCAGGGGAGCAGTCGTGAAGGGAAACGAAGAGGAGTGAGGAGCGGCGTGCTGCCGCCCCTCGACACAGGGAAGGCAGGGAGGGGCAGGCGAGGGTGGGAGGGGAGGGAGAGACCTGGGAAGACCAGAGACAAGAAGGCGAGAGTGCATGCCACGGAGGCGTGGCAGGGAGGGGTGACCTAGGCGGTGGTGCCAAAGGAGAGTCTGGTGCGACAAGACGCAACCCGAGCAAGAGGCTGCTAACTGACCTGACGCGGACGCAGACGCAGCTACCTGAGGAGGCATAGTAGTCATTGTGTACAGGCTCGACCCAGGCCGATGGGTGAACGTGGCCAGGTGACGGCCCGTCCGTGCACACGTGTAGATCGCGACACGCTGTCCCCCGAGAGTAAAGGTATTAACCCATGCATCCTGAAGGACGGCGTTGCTCACCAAGTTCGTAGAGACGAGGGGAGGTGAAGACCTGACTGTGAGCTAGACAGAACCGCCAGACACGGGAGAACAGTGGAGGAATGTGCAAGAACCGGTCCCCCAGAGGGATCAGCCAGAGAGACTGCAACCGGTGCTGCGAGTGGTGTGACTGTGGTGCTGTCGCAAAAGAAGCAACGGGAGGCACCTGAGTCAAGCGTGAAGGTGTGCAAGGCCTCAGGAGGCGCAGTACTAGAGAAAGCAGACTCACTAGCACCTAGAGCAAACTCACCAGCACCTAGAGCAGACCCACCAG